GGGGGGGGGGGGAGGTTGTTCTCCGGAAAAAAAGTTTTAGATAGGGGCCAAAAAAAAATTTGCCCCGGGCCCCCGTCAACCTCTCGGCGGCCCTGCTGCTAAATTGTGGAGAAAACACTGCAAATTCTTGAGGAAACTTTGTATCATATCCCAATGTTCGCGATCGAACCTCGCGTACGACGGTTCACAAAACTTCCAGAATACCGCTTGAAAAAAAACAAGTTTACATTATCTTCTTTTGAAACATCACATCCAAGTATCGTTTTGGCATTTAGAATTCTTTTTATGCTTTTAACTAAAGCAAAGTTCACACTTTTGTTTCAAAAAAGAGTTCCATATAAAACACAACGTTCGTTCGTATTTTGAAGTCACACGAGTTTTAGTTTACATATATACGAAGAACGTAACCCCCGGAAATAAAACCCTAGGGAGCCACCTTAAACTAATTTCTATGTAATAAATGTATTTTGCTAACCTGTAAAATTTTTTGAGAGTTTTTTCTTGTAATATTATCTTTCTCAAAGCGAATATTTTCCTTTTTTCTGCTTTGTAAAACTAATGTAGTTTTTGGACCGCCATCTTGTTTTCCATGCACTACTCGCCGTATACGAGCTGATATATGGCAAGTAATTCAACCAATCAGATTGCAGAACAGCTCATATATGGTTACTATATTACACTCGTTGTCGTGTTTTATCAGACATAAAACACTCGGCTGCGCCTCGCGCTTTATATCTTTGACGGGCTACTGATAGCTTTTGAATCCTATCAGTTTGTCCCTCCTCATCGAGGACTAGCGTACTGAATGTGCATTTTACTGGTGTACTTATTAATGAATTGTGTAGTTTTTGACTGTTGAGTCTCCTGTTGTTATTGTAATTTAGTTATAACAGTGAGAGTAATGGAAACTTATTTGGATGCGCGCGCTGGGGTATAATACTTATGGTACCGGTGACTACGGTATTCAGAAGTGGGATACTGAATTCTCAGAGGAGATTATTTATCATTTATAGACCTGGAGCGAGGGGGATTCGGCGAAATATTACCCGAAGTGATGATATTTCCCGAGGGGCTTTGCCCCGAGGGAAATATCATCACTGAGGGTAATATTTCGCCGAATCACCCGAGCGGAGGGTCTATAAATGATATATTATACCGAAAGTTAAAGAACTCGATCACTAAGAGTCTATCAAATTCAGAATAAACTTTAAAACTTGCTGAATATTAATAACTACGCGAATACAATTTTTAATTTCTTATCTATACCTGAGTTTTTGACGTTTTCTCCTTAAAATATTTGAGCAAGTATCCTTTGGATCGTTGAAAGTAACATACGTGTTGAAATATTTGGTTTACTTAATATTACTAAAACTGTCTTCTGTAGTTCTGTACTTCTGTACGAGCTCGCGAACGCCATATGGTTTCAGAATTCAGAGCGTGGTGTCCACGCGTCGCTCGTGGAATACTATAATATCCCACGGTGGATCTGCCGTGGGATATTATAGTATCCCACGCTGGATTGCGAAATCATGAATTTGAGTGAAATACCGTAAAAAATCACATATATATATATATATATATATATATATATATATATATATATATATATATATATATATATATATATATATATATATATATATATATATATATATATATATATATATAAAATTTCCTCAAAATTCCGCAACAGTCTGTTTCAGCAGTAAATGCCAAATTCAAAATTCTTTAGCTCAAAACCGGCTTGAAAATTATAATAGTAATTTACTAGCAAATATTCCCGGAAGAGTGGGATTTTCAGAGAGTTGGCCGGCATTCTAATATCTTTGTGAAGAACTAAGAACACCGACTCAAATATGAAATAACTTCTTTTGTAAACTCGTATATAACTATAACTATGCTGAAAAAATTTTAATATTCTAGCATTAGGGACTGGTCATAAAGTAACTGCTAGGGTGGGCTGGAGGTAAATCACAAATTTTGCCAATAAGTTTGGTGACACATCTTAGGATGTAGATAAAAATTTCAAAGCCCATCCAATCTTACCAAATTTAT